AATGTAGACATTATCTATTTCATTATCTTAGGGTCATAAAGTACAGCTTTGAGTAAATTTCCTATTGCCTGGTAACCTACATAAACAGGCAGTAAGACAGGGGCGGATCCAGCAAAAAACTGACTGAGTTCCAGGCCAAGGCTAGGGTCATTCAGATAATGCATTGATCATTGTGCATAAGACAACATTATTATTTATATTTATGCATTTTGGTACCATTGAGGGTGTGGGGGTGGGGGGGGGTAGGTACTATCTACTCAATAAATCTAGATTCTAGATTTCTTTCCGACAAAAAAACAGTGCCTCTGTCAAAAATTTTTAAACTCCCTCCCTTTCTCAATACCCTTTGTTTGTTTTGGATGCCACAGCAAAGTTTTTCCCTTTTGTTTTGCTCGTAATTTGTTGTTTTGCCTCCGAAGACACAAGCCTATTCATCAAAATATGGTGTTCCATCTGAGAATAGGTTTTCCGTGCCATCAAAGTCTGCAATTTAAAGCAAAGGTAGTTAACACTCCTGGAAAATTAACGATATCTCCTGGTTTTATCTCAAATGCTTAATAATCTGCTAGAATGCTGTGATGGTCGTGAGTATAAAACATCTGCAGTCGCCATTTCGAATTCAATGTTTTGCAGTTCCACAATAGAACAGAAACAATAGGTAGCCAATCAACTACGGGCCATTGTACAGCTCTCTTACAAATATGGTATCATTTCCCAGTTCCAGATGCTGTTTTGACTGAGTTCCATCCGTGTTCCAAACAAAAAGTTTATTGTTTCAATTCATTCACTTCTGAGACACAAAACGTTTATTTCCGAGTTCTAGAATTGACTGCTGTTGTCCTCCACAGCGTCTGGAAAATCGTTTCCAAATCACGACAGAGAAGAAACTGGCAATTTTAAGATTTTGAAGAGACTGAGAAACTTTGAATTTTTAGGTTTAAATTTTTAATTTAACTATTAATTGTTTCAGGCAACACTATTTTTAGCTGTATGTTGGAAAACTGACTGAGTTCTGTGCATCAAGGAACTCACTCTGGATCCGCCTCTGTAAGAATACAACTTTGATATATGAATCATACAAAAACACACATAATCACCTCAGTATCAAACTCATTTGACTGATCTTTAAACCAATCATTTTCCCACTGCCAATGGGCTTCTACTTCAAAAGATTCTTTGGGAGTATTCTTAGTTCCATCTTCAGAGCTCCAAGCTGGGCGATCTGTTACAATCAGCTGTAATAAAAAATCTGCAGTCAGAAAAGAAACAATTTTGACACTATCAACACAAAGATAAAACCTACCAATAAAAAGATTTGCCGGGGCGAAATATAAGTATATTCCTTAAAGTTAATTTATTTTGAATATTTTATCTCATGACATTGAGTTCTCCTCGTCGTAATGCTTTCTTCCTGTATATCTTTCATAACAACACTCATTGCAAGATTCACAGAATCCGGCAGACAGCCTATCCTGTGGTTCTTCCTTCTTACACAATAAGAAGATTGACAATTTGTTTCATCTTATCATACATAGCTTTTTCTGGTTGGCCAAAAATAATAGGTCGTTTGGGCTAGTGTAATGCTGGAAATTTTGTTCAAAGGATTCGAATTAAAGGACTGTTACAATGATGGTTCAGAATAGTTATGCAAAGACTACCCCCAGCAACAATACGCAATTCACAAATTACCTTGACAACAAATGGGTTTTATATAGCATTGATGATTCATTTTAGTTAAACTGAAAATGTAAACAATATAACTATTCCAGGATTTTCATGCAGAGAACATTGGAACAAAAAACAGAATCTAAATGAAAGACTACATAGGGATATAGACACATAGACTGTATTAACAAAATATATATTTTGGGGAAAGTGCGGGGACCTGTCAATACTCTGTTTCTCGCAGTTTAGATAGGGTGTGTACTCCAACTACAACTACTGGGGAAAATATCTGTGACACCAAAAGCACAAAATAGGGCTGTATAATTGAAATGAATTCATTGTAGACTAGAGAGGAACATAGTTTGATGTCAAATGGCTAGATTGTGCATATCATTTAGTGTTTATAGTGCTGGCAGATAATATTTCATGAATCTGCCCTTTTAGAAGTGGCACTTCATTTATATTGGGTTTTTCTTCCATCAGCTCTATTATATCATGGCCCTGATGGTAAGGAGGTGTTCTTTATCTTAACCAGTTGAAAGTAGTCTTGAGAAAGTAGCAGGGCCTATTTTAAGAAATTTTTAATACTGCACATTTATAACTACATTTTTTATAGGAAATTTTGTTGTTGCAATTTTTGGAAATTTCTAGTCATTTCGTTTTGTTGTAAGTTTTGATTAGAGAGTCTTTCCGGTGGTCATACAAGATTTGCAATACATGACCTCTATATCGAACTGACGGGGAAAATTCACATTTTGTGAACAAAGCAAGAATCTGGGATAGCGGTAATTAGACATTTTCACAAATCCCAAAATTCAATACAGCACATTTTCGAAATCAATACTGCACATTTTTAAATTAATACTGCACAAAGTGTGTAATACTGCACACTAAAATAGGCCCTGGAAAGTAGTCTTATATTTAGGTCAATTATGGCAATAAAAATGTTGATGTTTCAAACAAAAAGTAATTACTCTGTATTTAGAATTTCTGCAAAATAAATGAATCCCCCCAGAGTTTAGTCCATGTAGCAAATCCCAGAGATCTTTGGAGATGAGTTGTGTTTTTTGGTGTGGTGTTGGTATAAGTTAAGCATCACCTAGCAAAGGGTGTATTATTGAAATTTTGGTGCAATGGCATGGCAGTGGTGAGGCACAATGCATTATCTTTGATTGTTTATGAAAGTATCATATTCTTTATATTGTCTATTTGTCTTCAATTGTATTGTCTTTGGCTATCATATACAATGCAACTCAAACTCTCCACATGGCTGTATGATATTGTAGTCTTGTTTGTGGTCAAACATTTTTGTTTTTGCTGGTAAGTAGAGCAATTCTATCCAATAATATTTGTGAAATACAGTAAGCTTCTGATAACTCAAACATCCAAGGGACATAGAAATGGTTTGAGATAGGGTACAGTGTTTAAGTTATCTGGGATGGGGGTGGGGTTATTTGATTTTTTGAGGTTATTTGGGGCTATTTGAATATCAATTTGACTTTGCAAATGTATGCGAGGGGTTTGAGTTTTCACGAGTTTACTGTATAAAAAAACTACTATTGAATTCGGAACAGATGGCCAATAAATCATATTTTGCGTCGACTAACTATTTCCAATTGTATTTCTATTATTTATTGACGTGATTCCTGTGTGAGCTTTGCATGGATCTTCCCCTGGGTCTTCCCCTAATTCCCATTCTTTATTCAAGGATAATTTTATTAACGTGGCATTCATGTTGACCAGCAAATGACACTTACTGACTTTTGTGACCAACAACGCTTCGTCAAAGACCACCTCTGATTTTCATATGTTGATACCTGAACACGAACTGGAATGTCAGTTTTGAACAAACACACGTAGAGCCTTTGATCTGCCCCCAAACCCCAGGCGCAATAATCCAGAGCAGATATCTTTTTAAAACTTTGCTTAGACACATTTGGCTTCTCACTCCGCCATTCCATGCCATCAAGAGTGAAGTAAAATAACTGACCAGAACGATATATTCCCCAGAAACACGATTTCGGCATCTTGTTAACTCAGCTTTCCGCGTTGTTTTGATGATATGTAAAACGTTCTATTCCACTATTTGATTGAAAATCTGTGAAAGAATCCAGACTGTGTTATACACACGAGTATCTCATCCATGTTTTAAAAGCTAAATATGTCTGCAAGACATGCAAATTGGTAGAAAGCTGAAAAAACTGTAGAGTTTGAGGTACCCTTTCCAGTTGTTCTTTTGCTGACAAGAATCGAGTAATGTTTGCCTCTTTCCAGTTAAGGATGGCCTCATTTTCACTAAGGTAGAAAAATACGCGGGAAAGCATACTGAGACATTCTGAGGCTTTACATACAAATGCATCTAACTTGATAATGCATCTCAATTAAGATATTTGCAGCTTCTCTGCCATAAACCAATAAAGATACAAACTTTTAACATTAATCTTAACATTAAGCTAAATCGCCATTTTGGAAGACCTTCTAAATTTTTGTTCTGGGCTGGAAGACAGTTGTAATGGATCCTGAAAAGAATGATATACCAAACAAACTGTTTACACTGGTAATGATTATGAGGAATAATAAGCTTCTACTTGGAATGAAAAAGCGGGGATTTGGAAAAGGCCGATGGAATGGATTTGGTGGGAAAGTCCAAGAAGGCGAGCGATTGCTTGATGCAGCAAAAAGGTCCAACTTGCCTAGGTTTTATAGCTAATTGTGCTCTTTCTTTAGATGCGGAAGTATTTACAATGAAGTATGTTTCATATGCTGCGTAGGGGATTCAGGCACCATGAAAATCAAATGGCCCAACTGCAATTACTCATGCCCTGTGACCTATGCAAGCAGCCATATACAAAGGTGTCACATCAATAAAAATATTACCTGTTTAAGTAGGCCACTTTCATCTTAGACAAACCTGAGCCAAACATCTCTTATATTAAGACTATCAATGAGCGACAGTCACAAGGAAAATGGTTGGTAAGAGTTTACAGACAGGGCTACAATTAAGCTGACAGATATAGGGTATACACAAGAAGGTGCTATTAAAAGCACATACTTCAACAACAAAAATAGTAAAACGTTGCAAGTATTATAGTATACTTGTGCAGCCATACATCTATTAATGTTTTAAATACCTAAATAAATGCTATTTGATTTGTATTTAATGTGGCTGTTGGAGCTTACTGACAAAACAATTGAAAATAGCTCTGCCAGTTTATGGATATAATGCTTGTCAAAGCTGTAGCTAGGTCTTCGTGCAAGATTTGATCACTTTTATTTTCAAAATAAATATTTCAGCAGAAAAATTATGCTTAAACTTATGATCATGCCTATCCCTTTTGAGAACCTCAGATTCCTGTAATGTTTGTCAAAGCAATATGATAGTTGGGATGCATGAATATCTATTTAGAAATATACAATCTAAATTTCTTATGTAGTAAACATTTGATAATGAGGTTTTTGCAAAAGTATAGAGAATATTTATTTGACTCTGGTTGATTAAGGGGTTCCAGAAATGAAATCCTATATGTAGCTCTTGCAGAAACGTCAACTAATAATTTTTTTGCTTTAACTCCCAATTATTTATTGTCCTTTGGTCTTGATGTTACAAAATCAGAGCTTAAGTGATAAAATCAATAAATTTCACAAAAGGATCGATCATTGCACTTGCTGATCACTTAAAAAGAGAATGCTACCAGATATGAAACAAACCTCAAGTTATTTGCAATTGAAATTTTAAAACTAAGAATACTCTCAATTCATCTGTTTTATAGAAAATCTTTACAGAAAAGGCCATAAAATGTGAAGTGCAAAACCAAGACACTCTGAGAATAGCTAAGATAAATAGCATTCCATACTTTCTCTAGCACCTACCCTTGAGGGTCCCTTTTCAGTAGAAATATGGTATGCACCATCAGATCTGTGGGACAGAGAATATGGGGAAATTCCCCAATTGCATTAAAGTTTGATAAAAAGCTATCAGTATTAGAAATGAAAATAATGTCACTGAAACATTTAATTTCAATGCTATGTCAAGTTATGTGAAAGCTATGGATCAGGGGCAGGGTTTTCTTTGTGGCTTTTTTTAACATTAAATTGCTAGTATTTAGAACAAATTGGCCTTTTTGCTTTGTAGCTGCTAACTATAAATAAAGATTCTTATTTTGTTATTATCAATAATTTCCACAGGGAAACGTTGGAAGAGTGCTGTTTGCATATCAAAGACCCTAAGCATCTTGCCAAGATAATTTTTGAGTTCAAGGGTGAAACACAGCTACTAGAGGTTCATCTTTTTATCTGTGAGAATTTTGAGGGAACTCCTACAGAAACTGAAGGTAATTATATTGATATAATATGATGTCGAAATTAACCAGATTTTTTCACAAAACAGGATTGGATTAAATATCAAATGTTGATCTATCTACTTCTCCTTACAAGTAAACTTACAAGTAGCCCTTCTCTTATAAACACCCCATCTTAATTTCTGCTTCCTCCAATTTTTTAAACTGTGAGAAATAAATTCATTTTTGATAAAAACTTAAGGGATCAAATGTGCATTGTTAGAACATACTGTATTCCTCTTTGTATTTCCCCTTTAAAGTGGAATTATTTGAGACACCCTATCACTGTGTGGGTCTAAATCATATGGAACTGGGATTGAGCCTTATCTGAACGTTAGTTAGTAAGCAAATGGTTGTGAAACCAAAAATAGTCCAACAAAATAATGGTTACAACTGAATTAACATTGTTTTCCATGCAGTGATGGAATCAAAGTAGCTAAAAAGGACTTTGATGAATGTAACCAGTTACAAATTAGGCCTTGCAACTAGAGAAAATAAAGTGAAAGCCTGCTTTTAGAAAAATATTATCTTTATATCGACAAACTAATTTACAAATTAGTATCACATAAGCAGAAAAGTAATTTAACTGAATTTTACTATTTCAGAAATGCAGCCAAGATGGTTTGATTTGGACAAAATCCCCTACGATGATATGTGGCCTGATGACATCTTTTGGTACCCCTTACTCTTCAAAAAACAACATTTTGAGGCATACTTTTTGTTTGAGGGTCACAACATCATCCTTGAAAAGAACATAAGAGAGGTTTCCGGGCAGGAGAAGTGTCCTACCTGACAATATTGAGAAGAAAACACTTGAAGCACTCACAGTGGAAGATAAAATCTTTCAGGTATTACAATATTGGCAAAGGATGAAATGAAACATTCTTGGTAGAATCTAATAATGCTCTCTTACAATTTTGCCCCAAAATACAACGGACAAAATAATCTAAAATTCTTATTCTAAAATCAATTGAAGTTCACCATTTGCAATTTTATTGACAAGGTTCAGCACTTCGGAAGATATTGATCAGACAAATATGACATATAGTCCCTAAAATTAAATACAGTACTTTTTAGGCAACATTAATCATGGTTTACAAAAAGTATATAATTTCTGCGTAAGATGCATTTAGCCAAAAGATATGTTGCTATAAGGAGGAACATCCTTGAGACATGATAAGAATTGCACAAGCAAATATTTTCCATGTCCTTACCTTAAAACACTGTACTAAAAACGAGTAGATTAAATTCTTTGCAGTCAATTTGTGTGTCTTTAACTAGCTAGATAAAACACATCTAAAACCCGCAAGAATTCCAGTTTGACAACCTATCCTGGCCTTGTATTTGAAATAATTCTTGATGTTTCTTTAACGGCCTTGATTTAGATATTTTGTGTATAGTATTTTCTCAAATACAAACCACACCAAATTGGCAGCTGCCCTCAGATAAAGTTTGATAATAAAATAGGAAATAAAATTTGCACTAGAAACTAAATTGATTTATCATGACTATCATTTTCAAAACCGGATACCCATGGTTAGAGACATCACAAAGAAAAAGGAACTATAACACAAGTATTTTATGTGATTATTGATTCTAAAATAATAAATGTATATTACAGAGATACCTATTATCTATTTGCCTACAATAATTCTATAAAAAGTAAATAAAAGCCCTAAAGAAGATGCCACAGTTTTTGAGAAAAATTTATATACTTTACAAGCCTTAGGTGCAGGGATGCGGAAGAGGGGGATGCAAGGGGTCAATTGCCCCTGCAGCCCTTTGATAGGAGGGTCAAGGTGGGGCAAAGTGCCCTTTTCATAGATTTCATAGAAGTGCCATTGACATCAGCCCTTTGTAATTATCAACAAATTCATGTGAAATTCTGACTGCACTGTGTTATCTGTGAAACAAAATGACAGTTACAAAAGAATTGTTGGTAGCTTGGAATTATTTTTTAAATGCCCTTTTACTTAAGCCTGCCCCCTTTGCCACTTGGTCGTTCCAGTGTCCCTGCTCAGGTTCTATTTGAGAAGCATAGTGCTTTGAAATATTAACTTCACCAGCCTAATGAGACAAACTAGATAAACATCAGTGTGCAAAACCAGCCATCAGCAAATAGCTTGGAACCAAGCCAACCTTGTCTTCTTTGCAGCCAATCCACCAGTTTGGGTTGATCTTTTCCAGTACATAAATTAAGTCACCACATTTAAATTCAAGCTCATCTGATTCAGCTGCTGTATGATTATCAGTTCCAATATATACATTATCATAAGAGAAAGCATCTTCAGATGGTCCTTCTTCTTCTGCAAGAGTAAGAAAGAAAGCTAGCTTGCAACCACCAACAATAAAGATTCAATTTTATCCTCAATTTAATTCATATTATAACCAAACTTGACTGCAGGACCACTTACAATGTCTTGTCTTGGTGATTAAGATTTTCACAAAAGACTGTGAACTTTTTAAATCACACCATTAAGTAATAAAAATAATGAAGATGCTAGGAATTGTGGCTCCTCTGTAAAATTACAAGTGATTAACACCTAAGATAGGAATGACTATTTTGTAGAACAAACCCATAATAGAATGACCATCTTCATTATTCTATGACATGGTACCAATAGTAAAAAGAGGAATTTTTCAATAATTCATACTTGATAAGAATAGGAAATTTATAATGAAGTTGGTGAAAACTGACCTTCCTCTGGAGGCTCTTCTTCAATCAATTCTGTTGGCTTTGAAGCTGAATCTCTTTTTGGAATAACAGGAGGCAAAGGTGAATCTCGTTTTGGAATACTTGGAGGTAAGGGAGGTGGCAATGTTTCTTTTTGGTCTAACTGCTGACCTAAAATATGAAAAAGCAATACAAATAGCATGGGAAAAAGAACATCTATTCACAGCTCCATCAGTGATCACCAAGAGAAACTATTTCTGATAAATAAATAATCAAAGTAGTATTTTCAACTAATGAACATAAATCAAAAACATAAAATAGTCAAAAACCAATTATGCCTATTCCTGTTTAAGAATATTTAGGATCCCACCTTTATATTCAAGATGCTGACAGGATCCATGTCACAATCCAATATCCTAATCCTGATCTAGTTCTTGTAGGATCCTACAATGTCACTATGGATCCTAGCAAGATCCTATTCCAGATCCTGTTTTAGAATCCGGTAAGATTTTTGGTAAGATCCTGTGTAAGATCTTAGGTTGTGTTTGTCCTACAGGATATTGTTTAGGATCCTATGCACACGAGATCTTGCAGGATTTTTGGTAGCATCTTTTCCAGGATACTAAAAATCTAGGATCCCACAGGATCCTGCAAGTTTTTTCACTGGGGCTGTGCATCTCTTTTCACCATTTGCAAAAACAGCAGTATGTCTAGAGCCTTAGCTTTATGGCTACATGATTTAACTTTCTTTTTGTAAACCTGAATGACCTGCATATTACACTCGTCTCAAATACGATGGATTTAAATTATGATGGAATTAAAAATCATTCAACAATGTCTGTTACAAAATTAACTTTCATTTTGTACCCCAAATGACCTGCATTTTACACTTGTCTCAAATACGATGGATATGATGGAATTAAAAATCATTCAACAATGTCTATTACAAAGAGCATAAAGAAAAATAAAAAATAAGTTGTGATAAGTAACATAAGTACCTCTCGGTGGGAGGCTTGGTGGCAGCGGTGGTGTTGCAACTGGGTTTGGAGATACAGGTACAGGTTCTTGCAATGGTCGAGGGGGAAATGCGGCTTGACTACTATTTTTCATCAAAATAGGATCAATGGTGTCATAAATGTCTTCTTCAACTGAAAAATGAATATGATAAAATTGGTAGAGGTGTTTTTGAAATATAGCTGAGAAGTATAAGCAAAAATCAACCAATAACATCACAAACTCAAGTCAACCTGTCAGCACAAGATTCTCCTGAAGGAGAAAATGACTTTACATCTATTGTTATAAAAATGGCTTTACACCTGTTATTGTATTAGTCTCAAATATTAACTGAAAAGCAGAAGAGAAGAAAGAAAATAATTTGATAATATGAGAACCCTTAAGCTTGAATGCTATTTATTTAGCTCACAAGATACAAGCAAAAAGTATTGAAAATTTATATTAGACTTAAACTTTTCATAGCCTGTATCCCAGAGAGAGACCTGCGTAACAACCTTTATTGCCATACAAAGACAAAAAATCTTTAAACTCACTAGGGGCAGCATCAAGTGAAGCTGGTTCAGATTCAAAATACTCTCCTGGAATACCCTCATAAAAGTCGTCACCAGCTTCTAAACCAAATAAAAAGACATACTTTAACAAATATAAGATAACTTGTTTCTTGTTTAAAGTCAATGTTACACATGAATGCATGTATTAAGTTCAAAACGTACCATAACATTCTTCTCTCATTATTGTAATCCTTACAACTAAATGGGTATGGCAGACTATTCAAATGGTTTAAAATTCTGTCACATTAGGAAACAAAACAAATTTTCATATGTTCAATATTTTGGAAAAAGGACAACATAAAAAAGGATTTTGAAGTTCTTTGGACTTTCTAGTAAACATTATTTTAATGTTAAAAAATCTTGAATGTTGATAAAACCTGAATGATACCTGCTGAGCCTGCATGCATACTGAGAGCAGAGGTATTACCAATATGATCATCATAAGTTTCATCCTCTATTAATAAAAAATTATATCATACAAAACCCCCTGCTTTATAGCAAATGCTTTAATAATCTGTGGAAGTTAGTCAGTTAGTGGCCCTTACAGTAGAAACCCGCATAAAAGAACCTAGGTTTTTATCTTGCAGCCTGGATAGGTTCTTTATTAACAGGCTGCTATTCTAAATTCCAGTCTAAAAGGTCCTCAACGAGGTTCTAATATACGTACAAGCCTTGCACACATTAACAATGTTTTATACTGCCAAAATTCGAACAGACACACCAAAGCTTTCTTTTTCACATTCAAGCAATCAAGTGAATTTGTGTTGCTAGATTGTCCAATTTGAATGCAACCTACCATAACTTGATTTATTTTAAGCTGGTTTAATTTGCCAATGTGAATAGCATGTAAAAATACCTTCCTAAAGACCATTTTTTTATGTATTTATATATAAGAACAGTTCTAAATTTCAGCCTCTTAGGGGTTCTTAATTATGGGTTTGAAAAGATTAAATTTCAGCCTCAAGGTTCTTATAAAAACAGGTTCTTTCATGTGGGCTTCTACTGTACTTGATCCTGATTTGATCTCAAAGTAGACAAAATGTTAATTTTAGACTTATTAGCTCCCTCTGTTCTTCAACTATAGTCATCAAGCAAAGCGAATGACTCTGCCAATCACTGAATTTCAAAATATGCAACTAATCACACAGTAGACTTATTGCATTAAGGGTTAAGTTAAAAACTTTTCGAAATCTCAAAACTCAAGACGGCAGAAACCTCGAAAAAGCTGCCAATTACCTCCTGTGACAATCCCTTTCTGCTGACATTCTGTGGTATGAGCCTCATCAGCTACAATAAATTGAAAAGATTAAAATTAGGTATTGATTATATACCTTTTTATGTATAATGTATGGTAACAGTCAGAGAGGCTGTAGATTCTCTGCATAATAGAGTTTGCCTAAATGACAACACACCAAGCAGAAACGAAAACATAAATTAAACAAAATAACAATCCTTGAAGATGGATTTAAGCAACAAGGATGGGGGGGGGGTGTTAGCTATTAATAGTTTCATGTTTTCCTGCTTTAATGCCAACAAACAAATCCACCACCCTCCATTGATTTGTGAGCTTTTCCATGAGTGTAAACTCTAAAAAACAAATCTTATACTTACGCAAAATCTCATACATTTCCTCTTCAACAGGTGTAGCTGGTGGCTTGATTGGTTCCCCAGCACTACCTTCGTCACTGTCACCACTTATTCTTGAGGCCAGACGATTGAATGCCTTGCTTTCGAGTCTACTTAACTTTTGTGAACATATTGGAGATAGAGCTGCATCCCATTTGTCATAGTCATCCTTGGATGATACACTGAACTAAAAAAAGACACTAACAAAATTGTTGTATGCTTGTGTTCTTTTTTCATGTGTTTTCAAATAATGACAAGTGAAGGAAACTCAAGATATCAAAATACACTACAATAATGTGAATATTCGGCAGTCTTTATTTCTGCTCTTCATAAATGATTAAAAACTTTGAATAATTCTTGCAATTCAGTGCACTTGACTTAGGACTTTTACTTTTATAAATTAAATCCCAATTGAAAGCTTTCTTTTGAAACATTTTCTGCTTATGTCAGTGGCTTTAAATAGAAATGAAGCAAACTGGATGAAAAACTGATGGTCTCACCAAGTTATTTCTTAAAAAACAAAGCAAGCTCAAAGACATCCAATCTTTAAACTCTGAAAAACTATCTGACAGAATCTCAAATTTGTCAAAAAATTGCACTGCTTGAGTTGCTGCTAGTCTTCTCTTGTATTCTTAATTACAAGCCATTGCCACAGCTCTACTTTTTCTGTTTTGTCAAGTAGGTTGGCATTTGTATTATGCAACCTGTATGTTAATTACATGATTTCACACTTTTTTGCTGAAGATTGCTTACAGTAAACTCTGTTTGAAGTCACTATTGGTTACTGCCACAAAAAATTTAGACAAGCATGTGTAGACCATTTACAGTCACCTTCTACTTACAGTCATTACTTTACAAGCAAAATCTGATGTGACTTTAACTGGGGTCACCAGAGCAAGCCACCTATTGATAGATCAGTTAGATTTGAATGTTGAAAATCTGTTGTATATTTTTAGCTGTTCTATTCTGTTCTATTTTTAGCTGTTGTTCTATCCCCTAAACAGTCTAGGAAAATGCATGAATATTTCTTCCTGTGCTTCATGCCTCTCCTATTAATTTTACTTATTAATGCAACATGTTGATAACATCTTACCAAATATGTAGACCTTCCTTTGCCATAAGGAACCAGCTTGAAAACAAATCTGTCCTTGCTTGAGGACTTCTCATTGCTTATGATACGGCCAGGAAGTACAATGACACCAAGGGCTTTTGAGTCTTCCTCTTGGCAATAATAAAAAAGAAACTCATCTTTCAAGACACAGTATCTTTTGTGCCATTTAGACCCAAGAAGTTTTTTCTTTTGCTTCATCAACCAGCCTAAAATAGACAGAATTTCTCATTCAATAACAAAATAATGTAAATATGAAACTTATGATGATGAAAACTACAATATTACAACAAACAGCACAAATCTAAAACCAAACAAACTTTAACATAAAAGACAAATATAAAAATAACACTTTAGCTAGGGTGTGAGCAGAAAAGTAATGGCAAACTGCAGAACAGAGTGCACATTCAATTCAAATGTGAGTGTAATGAACTTGCAATGTGAGTGAAATGTACTGAATTTGTGTTTTGCCTCTAATCAATCTTACTATGAATGCTATATAGAGCTGTACAGAGGCAAAAAGCTGACCCTCACCAACTGGGTAAAAATCCATCTTCCAATAAAGTCTTGACCATGACACTTAAGAGAGACAATACTTTTAACATCCAAATTGTAGAAAGTTCTAAAACTCTTGAATTCCATCAGAGTTAGAAAAGGCATTTATGAATTTTGGAATTGTAAGTAGTCCGAGATTCTGAGAGCTGACAGGGGGTGATTGCCCAAGTGATTCATAAGGATTCATCATACCACATTTGCAGCTTTCACACAAACACTGAATGAGACTGTGGTGAATTCCCCTAACTCAGCTTAGCTTTACAGAGAATCTATCCTGATAAAGAAGATAAGTAGGACAAGAGCTTAATGTCTATTGTAACAAGCAGGCCTTACCAGAAAAGGCATGCGATCGCACTCGCATGCGCTAGTACAGGCCTCCCCACACCGAGGAGTGTGTTTAATCACATACCTATTTTTGTAATCAGTCATTCGTTTTTTAACTAAAGTGCTAGAAACTAGTAAGGTAACAAAACAACAAGAAATTGTTTTGTGCTTTTTATTTTGATGTGTTTTACTGGTCTTGTCCACTGTACTGGGTCAACTTAATTATTTTGAAGAGCTGTTGTGACAACACTGGAATGCAATCAAACACGGACCAAATGACCATAGCATCAGGGCTAGTAGTAGTCAGGACAGAACAAATTTTTTATCAAAGACCTGTGTTAGCAGATCGTCAGGCTCCCATCATTTTGAGGAGCTGCTGTTTTTTTAAAGCCTTTGCCAATGGCCTCTTGCTGGATAGCTCGCTTTCTGTATGCTATTCTTTTATGCCACTGTTTCAGTACCAGTTTCTACCGCCAGCTGGATTAAAAATAAACGGAGCAACACAAAGCTAAACAACCCTCTCTAGAAGGGCTTGCGCAATATGGCTTATTTGCCCAACAAGGATGTCCGGTTCTTCCACAAATTATTCAATGTTGTAACATTTTCATATGAAAGCAAAAACATTTGGAAAATGGCAGGTTGTGACAAAGGCATGAAATTTTCAAGGGTTTCTGGGTCCAAAGATTTGGAATGCAAATGAAACAAAATCATCCAAAAGTGCAAGTCAATTGAAAGTTCTTATAAAAGATCGTTATTTCAAAAATCAATGCGCCTGTAACGCTTGCAGTCAATAACTTCCATAATGCAATCTCTTAAATTACTTCATGTTAATGTTTATTAGTGTTCACACTGTTGTCAAACTAACAGTAAAAAAGGTATTATCATTATTATATTATTATTACACTTGCAGACAGAAAGATAGTGCTTTGCATTCAAAGAAAGGGAAATCTACAATAGAATTGTTCTGTTTCAAGCGTTTGCACTGAATGTTTCGTGCCGTTTTCAAATCGTGCCATTTTTTAATCGCGCCATTTTCAAATTGTACCGTTTTCAAAACTGTTTTCCTATACCTTGAAGAGACACGATTAAAGGTTGGGGTCAAAATTTTAACTTTTTTCGAGGATTTCATGAAGACTGCCACCATGGTTGCTGGCAAGAGGGATTGCTGGTAACTGCATCTAAAACACTTTCAGCATCAAATTTAGTAAAGATCTCTGGCAATATCCTTTCCCTTCCTTTATCATTTTGCCACCAGAGATTTTATTGCTAAAGTTGTGTGAAAACTGAAGAAGTGACTTAAGAATGGGGTTCTTTGAAGGCTCCATAGACAAAACACCAATAGCACTCCATCACACGCCTAAAACAGCTTAGGGGTGCGAAATGCCACACTTGTGCTAATTTATTCCCAGGAAGGCCTGAGGAAGTGTTAGACAGTGAATCTTTAGTATTTTAACAAATGCACAAATTAGAGACAAATACATTTAAAGACAAAGCCAAGAAACAAAAGAACATGAAAAATCTTAAATGAGTGAAAAATATTAAAACATACCACTGCATGTACAAGCCTCGGCCATTTTTTTGGCACTTATGTTTTCAAAGCCTTTGAGTTTTGAGAGCAACTCATCTTCAGTGAGCTCTGAATATAATTCATCAGATGACTTGGAAGTGCCATTTGAATGAATGATACTGTTTGCGATATCTAGGTACAAAAGCTCATAATTTCAAACAACAAATTGTGAACGAACAAAGCTTTTTAAGTACAAAATTATTGGCATTGTTACTTAATGGATTATAAAGCATTGGTAGTGCATCTAACAGTGGTTATACTTGGTATACAGATACACAGATGAATACTGAGTATTCAGTTTGAAAGGGGTAAGAAAATGATATGACTAATGTCAACTTAAGAAAAAGAAAACGATTATCATATGTCTGGGGTTAGTGAATTTCATAGTAAGTTACACTTGTGTCAAAAGTCCTAATTATCAAAATTTTAAGAGTTAAAATGATTTAGGTGTTGTTCTAAATTTGTATCATTATTGAAACTTAACAGCTTTTAAAGTTGGGTACATTAAATATGTTCACAATGGTACTCACAGGCTGCATGGTTGCAATCATACATCACATTGCTATTGTTTATAGAATTATGGAATAATAGCACAAAAACCCTGCGGATTTTGTCTTGATTGTGGTTTGCTACTTTAACAGCATGTGAATAAGGATATCCTCTGAGTCTGACTACAAAGATTTGATTTTTTCAGAAATTCAACATGGCAGTTCTAATAAGGTAGAGTTTCTTTGACAACTGGGACATGAAAAAACTAGCTGGTCTGAAAATATTTTGACTCTTCTCGGGTTTGGTACAACTTTAGTGATGTTTATTGATTAGAATATTTGTAGCAAAATCTTACAGAAACTTATAACCAGTCCAACTTAGTTAAATGCTGAGTTATCCAGGTACTTCTTGACTGGATTCAGCTATAGCATGACTTACAGATTTATTTGTAATATGTATATGACTTAATTGAATATATAAAAAATTTCTACTTCATTGTGTGGTTAGGACCAGTAACATTTTATCATCATTCAAGTCCTATTTCAGAAACACAGCCTTACCATCATAGGTTTCTTCATCTTCAGCCTCATCTTCTTCCAGTAGCTCTGTAACTTCACTTACACCAGACACTTCATAGTCTTCCTGTTGCAATGCATCATTTTCCTGGTGTTCTTTGTGTTCTAGAAGTAAATAAAAATTTGCTACCTTGTTAAACAGCCAGTAGCGTTGCTTGGCCTTCCAGAGTAGGGGGTTATAAGGTCAGCAGCAGTAAAATTTACTGCAGAAAACATAGATGAAGAAAAATGTTGAGTGCTTTTTTCGCATGCAAAAAGAAGACTCTACTGACAAACTAAGAATCTTGTGGACCAACTCATACAAAACTGAGGGGTATAATACCCCTACACACCCTGCTAGCTGCACCCCTGGAAACAGAATAGGGCTTAGCTGGTGAAATAAAAAGAGTTTCTTAGCATAAAACCAAAACAATTTACTCTTCAAACACTGTGTCAACATGTGGCAATGGCACATTACCAAATCATTTTTGCAAGATTGAAAGATCAAAATAAAACAGGGCATCAATTTTCACTTCTCTGAGGGCCTTTCAGTGAAAACTTTCCCCTCGGCAATGATGCTAAACATTTTGAAAAGTTTTGGAAAATTGATATTTAGCAAAATTAATGAAGCAGATTGAAAATCCAAAAACAAATAGCAGGATCAAAATGAAACCAAAAAATTTTTTGTCACAGCATTAATTGTTTCCTCTTTTTCAAAGGTCTTTCAGGAAGGTCTTTCCAGATAAACTTGAGTTTCATGTCTTCATTTTGATCATTTCAAATAGTTTGTGCTTGGTACTTATGTCATTATAGCTTAATTGTTGTTTAGGAACAATGGGGGTATCGTTGAGAAAGAAGAAAAATCAGGAATGTTTTTGCAGTTTTTAATATTTATTTCTATACCTTGATAAGTTTTTCGTAATTTTCTACCTAGACAGTCATCTTAAAACTTGCCTTATACTTGCTAAATATAATTGATCTTTGGCTGGCTAAAAGATGTTGGTGCAATGCATTCATTTTGTGACATGATGCAATACTTTTGCCCAGCTAGTGCAAAAGATACACAAAGAATATTTTCAAAAGAGCAACAGACCTTGCATTGATTCAGGGTTTTGTAGATTTGCTTGAAACTGTGTCATATCAATGTAGCTACTCATTCTTTGTCGTTGGTCAACTTCATCAATCTTGTTTTCAAGAACTTCAACATAACAAAATGTTACAAATCAACATGATGATCAAAGAATAAAAGAATGGTACTTTTGCACCCATACTTTTGGTACAGAAGCAACAAACAAGGACTGGCCCTTACAAAGGAAATAAGCCAAATTTAAGTTAAATCTGCTCATATGTAGAGTTTTTATCTTTCAAATATACCTTACCCTATACAGACTCTTAACCTCCTCAATTGCATTGGTGTGTTTTTTAATGAGATCTAAGGCCTAATAAAAGCTAACAATATTCTTCCATCTTCAACTGAAACTATTTTCATTACCTAACTTTGTTTCATTATCATTTTTCAGGGTAGCTTATTTTTTGCTTTCAAATTATATTTTATGAATGCCGATTGTAAACTAATTTTTTATTTTGTTTATTGTTTTTATTTTAACAGGACTACTAGGAAAACAGTGTAAATATGTATATATGCATATCACTACTGAAGTATTGTCCTGTATAAATATTCGATAATAATGGAAACTTTTCATTTTCAATTCAATTAAAACTACAATTACAAATTTCACTATTACAAAGGTAATTTGCAATTGGCTAGCCTGGGTTTACAAAAAAAAGACTATTACAAACACAAACAAAATAAATTGACAGAAAATAAGAAAAAGTGTGTTTGTCATTGTTTGTTTTAGAAGTTGTCAATAGTAGAGATCGTTAGAATTGAAGAAGTTCAGGATTATTCCAAGATTTATTTCTGCGGCAGAAAATGTAGTAGGTAGTACGGATAGTGACGTTGGGTAGTTTGGAGATCATGAAGCGGAGATGATTCTCGCTGATATCTAGAGCGTTGCACATGTCGATGAAAGAGGAGCAGGAGAGACCAAAGATACCTAGGGAACTGATAGAAAGATTAACAAACATGATAGAAGAATAAGCTGAGCTTAGGCTGTGAATGAGATTCAAGTATTTCTCTCTTTTGCGGTTAGCATTAACATCCAAGTTAGTTTCGTATCCTACTGTAAGCTCGAGTATGAATAGCCGATGGTCAGAAGTGACTAGAAGTAGATCAGGATGGGAAGAGTCTCCTGTTACGATAGAGGGTGAGAGATAACCTGAAAGGTCTGCATAAAGAGAGCAATTAGGTATAGCTTTTAAAGACTGTGCTAGGAAGTTCACGTTTCTGGCATATGGCAAAAAGAGCAATCGGACAACTGAGTAATGTTCCATTTAGATAGGTTCTTTCGCGTGGCAAGGGAGTTGCTAAGATATTTGATAGTAAAACTGAATAATAATTTTTTTTTTAAACATCTCATTTTCACTTAATACATTTTAGGTTTACAATTATACGACTCACTTTTACAGGCATCATATAATTGGCTTATCTGCATTACAATTTTCAGAAGTCAATCAGTTCGGGGCTTAGCCATGGTTTGTTTCGAAGACAGAAGATATAGTAGGTGCAGCGGATAGAAATGTTCATGAGTTTCATCAAGATGGATTTAATAATAATAATAATAATAATAATAATAATAATAGCTTAAGCTAACAGTAGAGGTGGGAAGACCATTGCCTTCTTGCCATGATAAGCCAGGACAGTCAATGAAATTAGGCCAAAATTAATGACAACTAGATAGGAGAGTGAAAATAAATATATCTACTCATTAAAATACATCAACGTTTAGGTATATTGATTATATAAAGCATTTCAAACGGGGGGGACCATACCAAGGCTTCTGCTACCCATACCAAGGGGCTTAGAAACAGGTTAAAAAAATAGATGGTCAGTGACGTGGAGAGGGGGTCCAGGGGGCAACTCCCTTGTTGCCTTTTGATAGGAGGGGCAAGGAGTGCGAAGGTGCACTTTTCATAAAAGTGCCCTTTACATCAGATGTTTGTAATAATCGAAAAGATCAAATGAAATTCTGACTGTACTGCCTATTCATAGAGACCTTTCTTGATATTTGCAAAGATCTTGAAATATCTTATGCCAAAAGTTATCTGATTTCCATGATACTATAGAAGATCGAAACAAAGAGACAGTTACAAAAGAAGTGTTAGTAGCTGGGAGATTTTTCCCAAAAAATGTCCTTGTAATCAAGCCTGCCCTCCTAGCCTCTTCGTTGTTCAGGTGTCCCTGTAGATGGTGTTGTGAAAAAGGGAAATAATTTGCATCAAAGGGTCATGCAAAAGTAGTACTTTTTAGATAACAAAAGACACTTCTCACTAATAACGGGGCAAACATTCTGTTGCTGGAAAAAGATTGTAAAATGTGCCCCCAAACCATATCATTAATTTTGATTTCAAGCAACTTTTTGATACTGAAATAAAAAACTGCTTTGGAAAAGGGCAAACTTTTGAAACATAGATCGCAAACTAAAAGTTTAGCAATTAACAGTTGTGGATCAAAAAGAAAAAACAGAAAATTGAGTCTATGACTATAAAGATTACCCAATCACAGGGATGGCACTAGAGACAAACATTCAAGGTGCAGAAGTTTATATTCAAAGTAACTGCAGATGTAGGTGTATCTAACTGCAAACAGAAAAATTCAAAATAAGATAGCATGCACCAGAGCGATGTACCTCACAAAGAATGGTTTTTCAGCAGTTGTTCTGTCAATTTTTTATGTCATCCTGACATTGTGTAAACAGCATATAACATCCATCAAGATTGGCAAGTCAAATTAGATTAACTGCTGTCTTATATCTCATCTTAGGAGGATTTGGCCTTAACGGGGTGTTCTAAGGTATCTTACAAGGACAGAAGGGTCAAACGTATAAGCATGTTGGTAGTCAGAGAGAAATGTTGTGTATTGACATCACCTGCTTAGAGTCAAACACAGAGTACCTCATGGAGAAATACAATTACTGTAACAATTATCCAGTAGAGCAAATGTGCCTTTGCTCAGATCACGACCTGTCGTATTTGTTTCTACCTAGCATCCGAAGGCAGTTTTTACGACACCGAGAAGCATATGCTTATCAAGCAGTGTCCTGGTCCTTCCTCTCGATGTAACCACACCTTGTGATTTCTTCACCTGGAAATTACAGAGAGCTGGCAACTCTCCTCACTCTAAGTGAAAGTCTGGTCATGCCGGGGGACTCAAACCACAGACCCTTGGGTCTGTAGTCAGCTCCTCTAACAACTGAGCCATCCTCGTACTAGACCTCATTCCCAGCCTACTAAGAAATCATGTACACTAGAAGTTATAATATTTGCCTAGTCAAGAACAGTATCTATGGTGAAATAGCCTTTTGACATAAAAAAGACTTTGAAATCATATTGTATCCGACCATGTTGGCGAAAACTCTCTGATGTTGGAATCTATGCTATTTGGTGTATAGAACAGAACGGTTCTAAGTTGATACTTTGAGTATCACGCTTAATGTGATCATTAGGAAACTGAACTGATGTTGGAATCAATATAGAGAAACCTAAGAAGCTTTTTCTGGCCTACATCAATTGCCTTTGCCAAAGACAAAAAAGATGAAATAAACAACCAAATTACGATATCTTACTGGAAATTTTCTCTAGACCCAACAAATAAGAAGCCCTTGCGTAAAAATTTGCAGCCCCTTGCTCCCTGTGCCATCACTCCTGCCAAATCAGTGCCATTTGCCAATTGAAAAATGTTACCACATGTCATGAACCATAAACTTTGCAAATAGAGTTGAACCAAACAATTTGATGCAACATTTTCAGAAATGATCAGAGTTGAATTTGTTTCCGCGTGATGACTGAGTTAATTTTTTTAAATTGTTAGTTTTTTGATTAATATGTTAATGATTTTTACCCAGTGTGGTTGGAAAAAGGGATGAATGAAAGGAGATACAAACCATCAGGCTGAGCAGTTACTATGCCATCAACATTGTCACTTCCTTGATTGACAGATGATTTAGTCGCATTTATTTTATCAACAAGATTTTCCACTTTATTTAACAAACTTTCCCTTCCCATCTGGGCATCTGGTGATAGTTGCTGGGAAGGCAGTGTGATGTTTAAGTAACTGAGGACAGCTGAAAATCAGAAAAATATAAATGATGACATGAGTTAATGATATCTATTGATATCTTCATAGAGAATACTAGCTTGCTGGAAAATCTGTCTGATCTAAATTTTTTCTTCACTCAAGGTCATGTCTCTCCTTCAACATTGATGTAAGCATCATCCTTATAAAAAAGGAACAAAGTAACATTTGAGGGTAGGAATGCTCATTTGAGGGGGATACTCATTACATTTTTAACTGTTTTAGGGGGCAATCATTCAAGAGTGGCACTAATACCAGGAGGATGTGTGTAAGAGCATAATGATACCCTACTTTCCTTACAGGACTGTCTAAATTAACAGTAAAATAAATAAAGCTGAGTGTGGTTTAAGCCTCTTCTTTCATTTGAGTTTTATCATGATTCCATACACAGTAAAAACTTTCACATAAATGGGTAATTTAAACATCCTTGGTTACCCTCTCTTCCAAAGTAGTTTTCATTAAGGGGATTGGTGGTGCAGTACAATCAGGTCAAAAATAAGAAAAGCTAAAAAGCAAGGCTTCAGGTTCCAGCATAATATAATGAATTAAAATGCAATTAGAAGACATATAAGAACCTGCAAACCATGGACGAATGCTTAAAAGATACCAATAAATAGAAACCTGCCTATGGTAAGTGAAAAAAGTAAGTTACAGAACAATATTATATTTACCGTAAAAGCTCTATTAAGCCCCCAGGGGGGCTTATTTATTTCTTTCAGTCCTAGAGGGGGCCTAAAAGTGAGGGGCTTATTAGAGAGTAGGGGTTATTAAGAGTTTTTGCTTGATAAGAGGGGACTTAATAGAGAGGGGGGCTTAATAGAGCGTGGGAGCTTAACAGGTCTTTTACGGTAGTTAGAAGGACTTGTGTATCTCTCGAGCAGTCAAAGCAGGGTGGTGTTAGGCCTTATTCTGTCTTTCGTGTTGTTAAGTTTACTAAAATTGTGTCATGCATTGAAGACCCTGTAAAATACTTTGCTTTACCTAGCGTTAATCATTATAAATTGAAATTAAGATAATGATCATAAATTTCAACTCGCATTATTTGATCATTCAACGCCTAAATTGTGGTGGTTTAAAGTGAAAGTTCTAAAATGAATCAACCTTGCAAAACTGCCAAAACTTCTTCCTCTTCTACTGCCATGTTGGGAGCCTGGTAGTCTTTTTCGATAGACTGTCACCTTCCCTACTGTCTAAATATCTGAGTTGAACACATAAAATAAATAAAAGATCAAGCATGAATCTAGTCTCTCTGGTCTCTTCCCCGACTGCTATCAATATTCTTCTTTCATGAAACTAGACAAGTAGACAAGGAAGTTTGTAAAGCCAGTTTGCGTCTCCCTCCTGCGCATAACATCAATTAGTTTCCGGGACCAATGTGCTACGCAGCAAGTTAGGATGCTGATGCTGCACCATTTGGGTGTTCGTGACGCCATGGCTCCCTATTCCACAAATGTTTTAAACCTCCATGTGGGTACCCAAATATATTTAGGATATAGGTGCTCATGCTGTAGCTCAAACCATCAATCCAAAAAATGATTTCTAGCAAAAAAACTGACCAAAAATAGCATTTTATCTCGCCATGCACAAGAAAGTTTTGAATTTTTTCTAAAATTCTTTAAAACTTTTCTCATCATATTTGAGGCCTGAAAAAATAATTCTGAATCTCATGAACCCAAAAATTAAACGTACAAAGTCGTACATAGGAGAAAACTTCTAGTCCCCTTAATAGAAAACTTCAGATTCTTATTTGCATCCGTATTCCATTTTGTATCATTTTGTTTTAGAGCGTCCATCCTTTCGAGCTTTAGATATCGATATCGAATATGCTTTTTAGCCACCGGTTTTTTTCGCATAGGGGGAAACATATGGGCACCGGTTTTCACAGGTTTTCAGAAAACAATACACCAATTCGACTTACGGCCTCATTTTGAAATATTCTTTTGTACAAAATTTTTGACCTCAGATTCGGATTGACAGCAATGATTTTAGTCTACTTGTAAGTTTTCATTATGATATTGCTCACGATATTGATTTTATGACGACATAAAGATAAAAACTTTATAAGGGATTTGACCGTGATTGGCGACTAGGGGGGTAAAGTTTCCCCCCGAAACGATTTTTGCGGTCAAATCCCTTACAAGTTTTCAAACTTCATTTCTCGATAAAATCTAAAATACAGGCTCAAACAATATGAAAAATTGTATCCCGCCTAAAATTATGACGATAAAACCAAATCTGAGCTTAAAAAAGTCGTATAATTAAATTTGGAGAAATTTCCAAAACGAGGTCGTAAGTCGAATTGGTGTATAGCCACCGGTTTCAATATTGGCGCATAGATAGCATACTCCAAGCTGTCACATCGAATGGCTGCTGATTTCCTCGATTTTGAATTTCTTGGATACTTTGCAGAGGTGGCGCCAGAAATCTTGCGACAGAGGGGTTGGAGCTTCCGACAGGGGAGCTAAAATGACTTAAATAAGCAGTTTTTGTACGTTATTTTGTCAAATTTGCTCCGACAATAACCTAAAATTTTGCTCCGATGGGTGGCTAGATGCTTCCGACGGAGGGGCTTTAGCCCCCCCCCCCCTTAGCCCTCCCCTGGCGCCACCACTGATACCTTGAGATAAAAGATGAAATAGGAAGCTGGGAACTCTGTCAAACTCTTGTGAAGGTTCAATTTAGTATATAAACAGAAGAACTCTAGTCAGTCAGGGAGAAATGCAGCAATTGTTGCAATTGAATTTTAGATTAAAAATTCAAGATTTACAGAGAAACATAGCTCTTAGAATTTGACCGGTTTTTTTAAACCTGTGCAACCGGCCTAGATCCGCGCCTGGTATGTCTACTAGGTTTTCGAAAACAATTAACATTTATACTTTGCATTTGAAGTTTTTACTGCATATGTTGAGGCCACGTGGAGTATTTGCGCCCGCGAGACTTCGAGGCTTAGTCATAACAATTCAATTCAACTTCCGATTAGGTAACGACAGTGCAAACTACCAAAATTTGCAATGACGACATTTCTATTCTTATATTCAAGGGGAAATTACCTTTGACACAGAATAGCGTTAAACAACAGTTCGGCTGCTATAAAAATAAAGCTAGAGCATATTCGGATTTAGTTTAAAAAATACACGAGAGAAAGCAAACTTGAAAGTAGACACTTGAAAAAAGAAGTAAGTACGAGGTACAATAATATATATACTAGCTTGTCGAGAATGTTCCATTTTACGAATAACATAGTAAGATTACTATGTGAATTACGTTCTGATTGAATTATTATATACGTAAGCCTGACGATTCAAACATGCGAACGCAATCCATTCTCAAATATTCCTTAAATAATTTTAAATGAATTTCAGCTAGAGGTTTTATGATTTAATGAACCATTATCCATTTCCAGGAAATGGCCGAAAGACAAGTTAGTGATGAAGGAAATGATTTCGAAGTTTTGCCAAGACATAACCAAAAAGATGGGGATTTTGTGAGCCTTAACTCAGCAACATCAGCCGTTGGTGATCCATACGAGCAAAGAAAAGATATTTTAGAAGTGAGAAACAAGTTAATACAGTAATTATAATGTAGACTGTTGATGATAGAATTAATTATTAAACTACACTACCAGGACAAAGTATAGCAACATCCAAATGAAAATGGCGTCCAAAAAATTGAAGTTTTGCAAATTTATATCTTTACGCGGAAATATTCCCCTTAAAAGAAATAATCCTAAGCAAGTAGTCATATTCTTTCAAATTTATTGAAGACTTTGAAATACTCAAAATTACAATATTAACATAAGAAATTTTACAGCTATAAGGAAAAATATCTGCAGTGGTAAAATCAACAGGACAAGGAGCTAGTAGTTGTGATAAAACTCCAATTAACTAGTCTTTAATTTTAATAATTTTGAAACTTGTTATAGAAAATGATAGCAAAATAGTGAAAGGTCACGAAACAATAAATGAAGTCATTATTCCTGACTTCTTTAGCCCTGAAATTTTTCAGCTCAACTTTGGTAATTTTTTGGTACAGTTAGGCCCATATAAATTAGGAAATCATCAACTAGTGATATGCGAGTTAATGCAGTGAAATGTGTCAAAATAATGCAAAACAGTCTATTCAATGCTAGGGAAATGTGGAAAGCAGTCTTTTTTATAAAAAGCAATTCCCTTTACATGGCAATTTTTACTCAAATTTAGCTGAAAATCTTCTAACTTGATGTCCTTCCTCGGCCATCACAAAGACCTAACCTTGAAATAAGCAAAAATTTCCTTCTGCCAATGAAAATGATCTAATTTGAAATCCATGAGGCTCTCTAAGGTCCAAACAAGAACTGACTTCTAGAGAGCTTATGGAGAATGAAGGAGAATCCCAATGCATTTTATCAACAAATTTTGTGCATCAATTCCAAAGCAATCTCTCTTATTTGTCTGACATCTACCTTCATTCATCATCTCAAGATTTGTGTCTTTTTTCTTAGAGCAAAGTTGCATTAGAGAAATTGAAAGGACAACTGAATTTTGGAAATGATGAGATAATAGATGAAATTCATGGAAAACTCAAATCAAGGGAAGCTTTGGGTATGTTTTTTATCTTTAGCTGTTCAACATTGATCCAACAACATCGCAACCTCAACAAGCTGTACCCATACAATTTAAGATTTCCCCAATTCACGTTAGGCCCCTTATTTATCAAGCATTACAAGCTGAATTACAAAAGTTGGAAAATACGAAAAAGATGAAAATATACAAGAATGGGAATGTTATACCCTATTAGCTAAAATAATGGATAGCATTTAGGTATTATAAACTTTTAATTATTTTATTATATGAGATAATCTAGAATTTGTTTCATCTTCAAATGTTTCAGATGCAAGAATTAGTGATGAAATTGTTGTTCTCAATGATATAAGCAACAATACTGAATGGAGTGGTGTTAAAGAAGTTACTTCTCAAGCCAAAGGTAATTTGCTGTTTGAAATATTTTTTTGGCTGACAGAGATACCAGCTAGCTATTACATGTTTTTGACTTAAAATGGCTGCTAGCCATAATTAAATTTGTACTGAAATGTTCTGATAATATCATAGATTCTTATATCATGATTATTGTTCAGCTTCAATTCAATCAGCTCAAATTGCAATTTGGGTTGTTCTTGTTTCAAACCTGTAAAGTACTTACAGCCTGTCTTCACCTGTTCACCAATTCAAAACCTTCCATAACTGATTGGATCGTTGATTAAATTCTCTCTTTGAAGCTTGGTAGGTTTTAGTACTAATCCAACAACCCTTTTCTAATGCAGGTGATTGGCATTAATCTCATTCATTTTACATTAAATGCAAATCCCAACTAAGGTGGCATGAAAAATGTTGATATGTCACTTAGAAATTTGGCATTGGGTTCTCTGTCAAGAATAAATTTTATGTGACAGAATCAATTGTTATTCCAGTGCTTCTTTTTCTCTGTTATTCTGAAGAAAATTCCCTAAAGTTAAGAACTGCACCTAAATGTTGTTAATCAACTGATATTCAAATGCCTTTTGACAAAATTTATTTTTAATCTAATACAAAAAGGAAGTGTCTTTATTATTTAATTTATCTCAATATGAATAGATTTAGTTTCCAAAGTAAAGGATTTAGCAAAAGAAAAGAAAACAACAGTGAAGCGTGCACAAGATGTTCTTGATATCTGCCTGCCATCATTTATACTTGCCTGTCAGCTATCAGAAGAAGACATCAAGCTCTCGTCAGAGTATTCAGAACTGCAGGACTTGTATCAAGAAACAAAAGCAGAAGTGCTAAGGTGTCAGCAGGAATTTAAGATGGAGGAAAGAGAAGAAAAAATTAAGGAGGGACAAGCATTACTGCGTATGTAATGAGTATTTTGTAAACTATTTCCATGACAATCTGCTTTGGGCCTCATTCTCATCAACTTCTTATCAATTGTCTTTTCACTTTAACATAACTCTTGCTGTTTTTACCACGAGTCTAGTTATTACTTAAATCTTTTTCAAGCACTGTATTTATCTTTTTTTATCAGAGAGGTCAATATCAGCAGCATCAAGTGAATGTGAAAGAATAGATGATCTGCTTGTGAAGGAGAAAGACAGTGCAAATTTTGAGAAGTTCAAACAAGATGAGAATCATGTAGACTTGATGATAAAAGCTGAAATACATGAGCTTGGTGATTGGCTAAAGAGTTGTCAAAGTGATTCTTACAAAATAGGTAAAAATACTGATAAAGTGCTTTATTTGGATAAATGTATAGCAATTTCTAATGACATCAATTCTTCATAATAGTCCAATAGTTAAAATTCTTGACAAAACTCCTTCAAGTAGCTGAGACAAAGCACTTTTAAGGTCCAAATGAACTGTGAGCTTATCAAATTGTTTAATATATGAATGAAGGCTGTTGGGATTTATGCCTGGTTCTTGGTTATTCTGAAAATGGAAGGAATATTCAAAACTGCAGGGCCCCCAACTACACTGTAGCACTTTTTTGGATTTTTGCTCATTAGAATATCAAGATTTATTTATAGGTTTCAAGGGGCCGCATATCTGTTCGTCTGTTCAGCAGATTCTGTGGGGATAGGGGCAAAACCCATTGATTGAGCAAGCCAGTTTAATTGTAATGAATTTGGTTTGCTTGAGAGCAGGAACTAATTGTACTCATACACTTGATACCCAGCATCTTTCATCAGTTGTAAAGTGTGAAGACACCATTCTTTGTAGTTAATATTTAAAAATCTTTTTCAGAATCTGTGATTGAAGATCAAAACCAACTGTTCATTGATGCAACAACAAAATTCAATGGACATGTTCGAGAAATAGGTGTATCATTAGAGATAAATGCTGGGAGACAGGCAGATTTGATGAAGCAATTAGATGAATTGAGAAAGGAAGAGGAAAAGTTGAAAAATGAACGGATGTTTCAAGTAAAAGTCCAACAAAAGGCTGAAGATGTAAGCTTTTGTGAAAAATTTTATAACTGGTATTTGCAGGCTGCATTATCATAATTTTTCCTTTTGCATGCCCTTTGTAAAAGTTGAGAAAGTTCAAACCCTTGATCATAATCCAAAACCTTCAATTTTCAAACATGTTCAAATGTAACAATATGCTCAATGTGCATGAAGCTTGACAGGTAAGCTTGAAAAAGATTCAAAGTTTTATATATGTGTCAGTCTTCTCAATATGTTTCCTTGCAGTTCAATGTGAAATTGCTAGCTGAACTTAAGTCTCTGCGAAAGAAGATCAATGACATAAAAGAACATGCTTCTACTGCAGAGGAAATAATGCAAAACATCAAAGGTATACCATATTACCTCTAATAACCACCACCAACATTTATTAAATTTTGGACTTTGTCATTTGCTAGAGCAAAGCGTTTGTTACAAAATTGAAAAATTAAACTCATTATATTTTACTAGGAGAAATAAAAATATGGACCATTGAACAGAAAGACAAGTAGGCTTTTATGTGAAAGGTTTTTGGACAGATTATCAAAATGATTAAATTTTTAGACTATTTAGGTATTTCTAAACAGAATGATATTTGTTTATTATTGTGTCCAGTGAAAATTTAAAGAGAGCTTGTTAAGGCTTAACAATCAACAAACACCTTCAAACGTCACACCTGAAGAACATGGGCATTCCATGCTATTAAAAGTAACAGTCCAACATATGTTAAAACAGCTCAAATTAGCTAATTGACTGATATATAGCCTATTGAACTCATCCACTGAATTTCACCTTTGGGGGGGGGGAGACTTAACTGACTGTTTAAGATTAAGTTGCAGTCGTAAATGTTAAATGGCTCAATACCTTAAATTTCAACAGAGTGCAGTAATCTTCTTCTTAACAAGTCATTTGAAATACAAAAGGCAAGAGAAGAGAAGCTGTCACAACTGATGATCGAGGCTCTTATGCGCGAAAGAAATGTCATGTCTACAGCAGTTGTTGAGCTTAAACTCAGAGAAAAGATGGCTGAGGAGAATATTGGAGAATATGTTTGTCAGGTAATGATAAATTTTTTCTTTAAAGGATGCTAGTGATAATTGACCATTTTATACTGTCACCTGGTTAGGTCTTAGGTTAGCCTCCAGCAAATAAAACTATATATGTGGAAGTATGCCTACTGCTCATGTCATTGCAGCCATTTCCAGGTCCTTGGCCAAGCATGATAAGATAAACAGTTGTAGGGAAATGAAGTGGAAGGAAAAAAGGTAAATGAAAATAACAAAGCTAGGACCCTCCCAAAGCATGTCTCAGAAAACAATAACAAGAAAGAGAAAAGGGCTCCTTTTTGAAATTTTGAAATACAGGTCAGCATCCACGAGAAGAAGTGAGTTAGAAGTTGTCAGATCAGGTAAGAAAGGCATAGCTGGAAGCATGTTGGCATGAAACTATTTGCTTAAAGGGTGAGCAATGCCTGCTCAAACCATTCAATTGCCATGTAAGCATAGGATCCTTCATTGCAAGAGTTGGGCCTAAGACGATGATTTTTTAGCTTACAAACCAGTAAGTAAGGGAAAAGGATGAAAGTTCCTGAAAAGTTTTCATTGTTGACAAGTATTAGAAGGTATTAAGAATTTGTTGCTCTACAGCTAGTTCTAGAATACCGTTTTTCCTCTAATGAACGCCGCACTCTGATAAACGCCGCCCTCTATTGAGCGCCGCATCCAAAATTTGGAATTTGTAATAAACACCACGGCGTTCTTAAGAGGAAATACGGTAGTTATTTTGTTTGGTCATTTTTCGCTCAAATTGTTTGGGTCAAGTTTTCCGTGGAAGGTTCTTTAATGAATTATGGCTTCTGAAAAGCGCTCCCTAAAATGTTTTGTTTATTCATATTGTTAAAACTGGAGCACATTACACAAATTCACCATGACATTGATTGATATGAGAGCAGGGAGAAAATTCAGGGAAATATCAGCAATTTTTCTCCTTCTTTCTTGCAATGATTGAATACCACCGCTCTTTATATATATAATTTTGTTGTTTAGCTATATACAATAGTCATAATATATACTATATACACAGTCCTATCGCCTGTCTTTTCAGATTGAGCTTATACGCAAAGACATCGGAAAAGCAGCTTCAAAGGGGCAGGGTCTGACTGTCTCAAAAAAGAGACAAGAGTTAAATGAGTACGAAGAGGAAGTGGAAAAAGAGAAACAAAATCTAACTGACTGCAAATCCAAGAGTGAGGAAGTCATGGCACGGCTCGAGAAAGTCGACGAGAAGCTCGAAAAGCTTGGTGTTTCAAGTCAGTCAATTGATTCAATGAGTAAGTTCTTTGTGATTATTTAACTTAATAACTCTCTTGAATATACATTGATCAAACGTCCCATGATTATGAAAATGGCATCATATAAGCTGGACTTCTGCAGCATAATTGCCGTCTTGAGAAACACATCCATGGCTTAACTATTGATGATATAGCCACTGTAGCTATGATTTAGCTGATGAAATGAAGTTTTTACTTTCTGGTTCTTGATACAGGTTTTCCATGTAAAATTCCGTCTGCTCTGCAGTGCTTCATTTCAGTTTTCCATTAGTTATAAGGCGGATTCGCACAATTCGTACTATTGCACTGGTCCGAGAAGATCCCATGATGCGAGTGTGACTGTGTTCATATCAGTACTGTTCACTATCAACTTCTTCATTCTAATAATCTTCATAAAAATTAAAGTTTCATTCATGTTATTTCTATCTAATAACCTTTGTTGACATCTTTTGAGAGCACCGGGTCGATTAAGATTTCTCTTCGCCGCGAGCTTCGTCATAGTATTGCACAATATTTTGTAACATATTTGCTGCCCTGATTACATCTCTATGATATATTTTTTATGTTTTTCTGTTATTTTCAGTTGCTCAACAGCTTTCAGAAATGCAAGTAGGATCTTCTGGTCCCATGTCTTTTGTTTCTATGTGAGATCGTTACCTTCTCAAGAGGGACAGTTGAATTGTAGATTAAAGACCAACTCTGAGTGATTGAAAAGTGTCCATTTTTGCGCCGTTTCTGGAAGTAAATATCCCTAGGTCTACCTCTATTTTAGAAAATTATTATTTCTCATAATATTTTTTTATTTCATTTTTTATTATACCCTGAAAATGGGTTTTGTACAAAGTAATGATTCATCAGCTTGTTGAGAGACACTTAAGATTAACTGATCCGGGACGTCGCTATGCAACGGGCGGACATCCACCGTAAGTCCTCGAATAAGCCCCCACCTTCGAATAAGCCCAACCCCCTCGAGTAAGCCCCCATCCTAAAGTAATTATTGTGAAATAAGCCACCACTCTCGAATATCCCCCATGGGCTGAACTATTGCCTTGACAGCAGTGGGTTTATCCCAATAATCTGCATTTTTAAGCAAACTGACCAGCCTCGTATAGAGAAAAAAAATTTAGCCTTGTAATATTTTTGGCTGCTGCTGAATAAGCCCCTACTTTCGAATAAGCCCCCCCCCCCTTTCAAATAAGCCCCCACTAAAACTTGTTTTTGCAAAAGAAGCCCCTGGGGCATCTTCGAGAACTTGCGGTATTACTGTTACGAGTTTTGAAAGCAACGAATTATGTTCAGAAGCTTTGCCATAGAAGTAGATATATGAAGCGTAATTCCATTTCATAATCAGTTTAACGACCCAGCAAAGTCCTAAAGATCACTTTCCATCTATAATCTCTGTTTTATTCATGTAAATAATTGTGGATCGTTTTGTGAAGAAACTCGGCCTTCGCTGTCTGTATTCGCCACCCTTTAGCTGTATTTTCCAGTTCTTAAGCGTTCTCTGCAAATTCTGGTACTTTTAGCTACAGCTGCAAGCCTATGGAGCAGCAAACACACGGTCAAGATCCTGCAAGACTTTTTAAATGACTTGTGTTCTTTTGCTTAATACTTTTCCATGATATTTTATCGGTCCTAAGTTTTTCATGTATGCAGTTTACATCAATAAGCAAACCGCCTCCTCTGGCTATAGGATAGTTTAGTTTTAGTTTTAATTGGCGTATCAATTTTCCTTATAATACAAATAATTTTGAAGTATATAATATCTTAGAAATCATAATGGGCTGAGGATTTCTTTATTTTCAATAAAATTGAGAGGAGCAAGATTGAATTTTTTGGCCTCATTTTCCAGGGCTACTCTTTCCGGGTTGAGATGCGAGGACATATTTTCGTAGCATAGTCTTCGATATCTCCCTCATCGAATCTTTTTCAATGCCAAAACTGGCAGGGATTGATCTGGACTTGCTATCACGCCCACCGAGGTAGGGGATTGGGGCAATCGCCTCCGGGCCCGTAAGCAAAGAGGGGTCCACTGGTAATTAAACTATCTCTATTTCAAACATGCCTCTTAATAATATGTCGATAATGTGGCATATCTGTACTGGGAAAATTTAACAATGCTTTATGAATACGAATTTTAAAAAAATGAGGATAATTCTATGCATTATGTACTAACTAAACTTATTGCCCGCAACTCGCGCGCGATAGCGCGCGAGTGAAGGGCTTATAGTCTGCCCCGCGTATAAGTAGCATATGGAAACTTCAGTTCATAATGTCAGCACTTTGTCAGCAGATTTTGTCACTTTTCTGCTGCCATGACAACTGTCAATCAATTTCATTGTCAATCAATCGGCTTTGTCGAGGAGGTCGTTAACCGCCACCTCTTTGTGCGGAAGGGAATTATCTTCGGAGCGTTGCTCTGCCAAGACTCTGTTAAAGGCCTTCGGTTTTTTTGGCACGAAAACGGTGCTGCATCACAGCTCGGTTCTCCGCAATGGATGGAAGTTTTGATTCGAAGTTTTGGGAATCAAAACCAGTCGAATGCCACACCTTTCTCCCAAAAACTCGACACCGTACGAGCAAAAGTTATGATTGTCGTGATTATCGCCTGTACATCGCTGTACGAATCCTTTATCGCAATCTATTTTAGCTGTACCCGTTCTATCACGTGTCCATTTTCATACGTCTTTGCTTCACGAAAACGAAAAATAAATGTCAAACCCTAGAAAAACTTCATGATTTTCAAAAGGGCGTTGGACTTAAATCAAAGGCAAACTGAACACCAAAAATTCTTGATAAAAAGAATAGTTTAGCATCAACTAGAGCAGCTGTTTTTATAAAATTGTGAAAACCCAAGATGGTGTCTTCTTCGAATATCCTGACCTAAATTTTCAAAACAATCATTATCAAGGAACTAATTGTTTGCGGGCAGTACTAGCAAGAGCTATTTCTAGTTTTAGGCTATTGCTTCGGGCAGGGAGGGGCTAAAGCGCTGGACGTGTTACTGGGTCCGGCGTAACTCTCCGCGGCCCTGCCTGCTGTGTCCATTATTGCCTTCATTGGTGTATTAATTTCTCGCAACAAATTTGTAACCTGTTTGCGAAGTAGGGGAAAGAAGAAAGAAACGCCATACAGCATTAACTACTGGACACAAGGGACTCTGCGTCCAGGGCCCTAAGCATATGAGTAGCCTCAGATTTTCATGCGTTGAAGACACCAAATATAAAACACTAAATTATACACAAACGAAGTATAAAACTTTACGATCTTATTTTTGTTAAAGAATTAGAAAAACTGGTTAAAAGAATTAGCAAGATAACATCTTGAGATTTTGGAATTAGTTGGTAAGTCCAGTCTCTCTTATTTTCCAAGCTGACCGACTTGTTCTAAATCCAAGCCTTCTGAACCCGTGATTTGCCCTTTGAGTAGTATTTGGTTTTGGCTGGGACTGCTTACAGGAATTTAGAGATCGGCACTATATCTTCACTCTAGACAGATTCAAGGTCGGTGTATATTTCACGAGAAAAGTTCAAACAAACACTTCCCTCGGAAAACTGCCACAAAATTTATCATTTGTTGTGATTTCTTTTCTACTCAATGGGAAAGTTGGCATAGAGAAGTAACTTCCTGGCTGCTTTCGATAAGTTCAAGAAATAAACCCAAAACAACTTGTGGACACCAATGCATACTTCATATTTACTGAAAGAGTTAGATTTTCTATTTTGTCCGGAATATATAAAGCATTTAAATTTTATTGAAGGTAGATGTGCCTAGGATAGGATAGTTCTACACACCAACTCCTAGTTCCACGCTTGGGTATAATGTTTCACTGGGATTCAACATAGAAGCTTTTGCAGCCTTTTGCTAAATATCTGGTTAAGATTGAACAGTGTCCATTAAAAAGCATCTCGGGAACTTGGTGCCCCATGTCCATCTTTGTGAGAAATTAAATTATGTTGTTTTAAAAGCACAACCTAAAATCTCTTATTTCAGTTCACTTTGTGAATCACTTAACCGAGACTCAGTGGCGTAACGGACTAATTTTATTTCGAAAGCTAAGGGCCCCAGGGGCGCCGCAAAAAGGAGGAAGGGGTGCTGTACCCTTTTACACTTAGTCTGTTGACATCTAACGGATTTTTTGCCGGGCAAAAGACAAGGTTGCCAAATGCCAAGTTTTGGAAAATAATACCTGTGAGATTTCATGTGCGCAGCCGCAGCTAGCGAACAATGGAACTGGGGTCCAAGGTTGGGGGCAGAAGAATTCCGAATTTCAGTAGATCTGGAGTGCTCAAATGGCTTAAAACTAGACCATTCAGAATGCCTAAACATATTTCACATTTAAAACATTCCAGAAAAACACAGAGGCTTTTAAACATAAGAATATACAATCGAAGCAATGAACAATAATAATATGTAATACTGATACACATTAACGCGTTTGACAATCATTCGCGCAATAGGTCTGGGCAAGTGATTGTGATAAATAATATAGTGGAATTCAGGGGCGGATCCAGTGGGGTGCGAAGGGGGCTCGAGCACCCCTCAGATTTGAGAAAAGACTTTTTGGGGATTAAAGCTTATTCTACCGCAATTTTGTTTATTATTATTTAAACCATTTAAATAATACCGGGAAGTATGCACATCTCCTGAAATTGTTATTTCCGCTTCAATGCCCCGTCTCACAACTGTTCAACATTGTTATTTCAGTCCATGCATTGAACTGTTATGAAACTCCCCCTGGTTGTCCTGTATAGCATTCTACAGACTCGGAAAGCATTGTCTCCTCTTATATCCAGCCACTTAAGGAACCCGTGGCCTGTAAATTATACGAGTTTCTGCACCCGTGGAAGTGAATCTAGCCAATCACGGTGCCAGGTCGAGGGGTTCTAAACTTTGGCGCGAGAACCCATGGATTTCAAAAATCCAAAACATCAAAGAATACCGACAAACCAGGGGGAGTTTCTTCGCTTCAATCTACAGTCAAATGTATAAGTGGTTTTATGACCAGGGGGAGTTGAGCTTGAACAGGGGGAGTTGAGGTTGACCAGGGGGAGTTGAATTATGATACAGCACGCGACGAATGCTTAGGCGCAAATTTGCAATATGTTTTCGTGGATCTTTTGACGATCTTTACCTGATGCTCGATGCTGTAACGGCAGAACTTGTAAACGCTGTGGTTTATATAACAGAACGGTTTCAAGTTTCAACTCCGTGTTTCACGTCTTATTCATAGACCATGAGGTATGATTTATATTCAGAGGATAAAGCTTGCCCGAGCCCTTGTTATTCTTTTTTTAATCATTCAAGAACTACATAAAAAACATCTCAAAAACTTGCCCTTACTATTATTGACCAAAAGGGGTTTCCTTTTTATACCTACTTATATTCCTGCGAATACTTTTTTCTCTAAGAATTTCAAATACATAAAAATACTCAAAACGCCAGGCCCATAGCGAAACATTCAGGGCCTTCTTTGTTTGGTTCGGCGTCATATGTCGATGCATGCTGTGTTTGAATCCCTGTGTTCAACTTTTGCACTGCACTTCAAGGGCTTCATTCCACCAGCCACGTTATTTTTTTGGTCAAGCTGATCAAGTTCTAATAAATGGCTGCAAAGAGTCAAAAATTAAATTTTGCTTTGAAAATTTGTGGGCTCGGGCCTTTTGCCACTGCGGGCCATCATATCATATTTGACTACAGTTTCTATACTTTTGTACCCTAAGTGAATATAAGAGGGGCGAGCTGCAAATTGCGTTCAATTGACATAAAAGCTGAAACCAAAAATTACTATATAAATCAAGGCATCCAGGCTTTTTAGTTTATGGAAGACTTTCATTTCATTATGGCTTATTAGCAGGGGTACGGAGTTTGTGCATAGCAACACCCTGGGTTATCAAGCCTTACGTTTTAGAACCCCTCAGAATAATTTCTAGATCCGCCCCTGGTGGAATGGAATGTGTTCAGCAACCACTGAGGCGTTTGATCTGAATTGAAAAAGAATGAGGCCCAGGAAGAAATCCGTGAGAAAAGTAACTCACGTTGTGAGACTATGAGAAGGGGTGAATATCAGTTAGTCTCACGGCCAAACCGTGAGACTTGGCAACCTTGAAAAGAGGAAAACTTTTTTCTCACCCTGTAGTATAATTGTAACCTTATTTGTAAAAGTTGTAAGGTATAAACATTTCTGTAGCAGATGAACGAAAGTATGACACTAAAGTATAAATTTTGAAGTAAAAACGCGTAAAAGCATTACTTAGCTTATGATCACACCCTAAAAGAGTGAGGCACGCCCCTTTTGTCTGCAAAAATCATTTCTGTACCCCTTCTTAAAAAGTATTTGGCTTCGCCCCGAGGATCCCCTTAACCTTTAGGGCCCTCAGGAAATTGTTATTTTACTTTGAAGTTGGTATTGGGAAAGTGACAAACATGTTCAAGTGGCCTCGAGCCTGCATGATAATTTAATTGATTGTCTTTTGATTAGCGTTTTATGTTTTTTCTTTGTATCGTTTTACTTATGCTTATAATTGGAGGGCCCCCGAACTGAAAAATCCCTAGGGGCCCCAGCTGCTTCCGTTACGCTACCGCTGAGAACACCTGTGCGCGAGGATGACAGAAATGACAACAACAACAACAACAGAATTGTTTGAAGGAAGTTTGGACTTTTATAATTGAGAAGGAAGCAACAAGACAACAACAACAACAAAAGGAAGCAACAAGAACAGGGTTGTGAAATGCAAACATAAACGAAACAAAATGAAAGTAATGCTTCCTAACTAAACTACCTGTGTGATAATTAACTAAAGAACGAGGCAGGCATGGAAGAGGGAAAGGATCCGCAAGAAGATCAAAGTAACATGTATTCCAGGCAGTTCAGTGCCAACGGAAGGGGTAATTATATCATGGCGTTTGTTTGACAGACATAAAGGACTCCACTTATCAGTTAATTGTTTTTTAAATAGTAGTGTTTATTATTCGAGGTAGACAGATCTTAGTGAATTTATTTGGGATTTGGGAAGCCAGGCAGGGTTGAAAGTTGTTGTTAAAAATTATACCAAGATAAAATAATAATAAAACTCAAGGCATATTTTAAGGCATATTTTAAATGGTGGGCCAGAACCATAGGGGCTGCTAAGGGTGCAGCACAAAAAATTGTTTCAGCCTCCAGCGTGTTAGATCTTTTCCTTCAGTCATGCAAGGTTTAAAATGTCATATGGCAAAAATGGGATGATATCTTATAAAACAAGCCCACTCATTACTGATGAAGACTTCGCTCGAAACGTTTACATGAGAGTGTTTTTCTTGCAGATCTAAATATATAAATAAAAAGCCAATTTATCATTTTTCTGGTATGCGTTTCATCCTTTCAACGAGGAATCATCAAATTGGCTTTCTCTATGTCTCTGCTCTCCAACATACATCTTGTCTATTACCACTGATTTGTGATTTTTACCTCTATCAGCTGCTAACTATCTACAATGCCTGCCAAAAGTTCTTGGAACACCCAGCAACTTGCATTGCATTTTATTTCCTTCATTTAATTTTTAAAAAATTTACTACTTCTGACCTCTTCCACCTAGAACAATGTTGATAATTTAGAGAAATATCATTAAAAAGAAAGTGCTTCCTAAAATTGTAAACCGCTTCATAGTAAACCAACATTGTTCCATAGAGATGATTGATTTTGCCCTTGGAAACGAACGTCAATGTTCCAAGACATTTGGAAGGCATTGTAACTTCATATAGCTAATTGTTTCTAAATACCCTTTTCCCAACAGATAAGAGGCCTCAAAAAAGGGGAGCTGGGGAGCAATGAAAGTCATCAGGCTCTCTGCATAAACGTCCTGTTGGAAATTTGTGTTTTTCTAATTTTTTCAGATCACAAGTCCCAAATCTTTTCACAGCAACAGATTTTTCTTGTCACTTGTTTGATTTCATTACACATTGACGTATAAGTTTGTTGCAATTTTTTCTAACAGCAACCATTAAGGAAGGATGGGGTGAGAAAGAAAGTGGCCAGAAAATATTTGGCCATTACAATTGGAGAAGAAGATGGTTCAGACTAACTGCAAAGGGGCATATTATCCTTTTCTCATATTACACGTAAGGCCTTTTGTAATGATAACTGTTTTGGTAAAAGTTATTTGTGGAATTGGGTGAACTGTTATTATGAGTGTCTGAAAACAAGCTGTTTCAAAGGGAAATTTCCTGCAGAGTAGTGACATTATTGGAAAAATTTTTATTTTGAATTTTGTTAACTGACCTAGATTGCATGAACATAAATATTAGCATTAATTCAGAGTAAATTTGTAGGTTTGTCACAGATCCAGAATTTTAAAAGCATTTTTCAGTTGAACCTAATGTTATACATCAATATTCATAGATGACAGACCCGGAAAGATTTACTGTATACCTAAGAATATAACATAGAGCCAAGGCAGAAAGTGTTAGTCTAATTTTGACACACTTTTGATGTTGTTCTAGTTAAAGTAAATGAAATTGCCCTTTGGTACAAGATCACACTGTAAATCAAATCCCTTGCATACCTAGGTGAACATATCTTGTGTTTGATAGATTATTCCATCTTGAAGTGAAGAGAATAATGTGAGACAACATCTTTCAAATCTCTTACGCATGTGGGGATGGCAAAAGAAATCTTTCATTTTAAGAGAGTTGTGTCGTGAGCTATAGGTTAGGCAAGTGCTTGAAATTTCACAAGTGCTTTAACACAATTTAGAGCAATTAAAGCACCAGAGAGCTCAAATACTTGAAAAATTAATTCTGCATGTTTTTCTCTTATTTAGTTGATATTTCCCCCTGAAATATGTATTCACATTGTTACATAGATTAACATCATTTGTGAAATTAAACCTAAATCAACTTTTGTTATGAGTTTAGAAACGCTTCAATATAGAGTAAGTTTGTCTTTTATCAGTCCTACAATTAAATATTTTATGCCTTTTTATGGTGCACATTAACTTCATTTCGTTTTATAGAAAACCAACTGACAGCAATGCAAAAGGAGAAGTTATGCTTAATCAAGAGTGTAAGTAGTTTGGTGCTTAGGATACTTTCTCAAATGATTTTTCTGGAGCATCAGCCCAAAGTACATAAAAATCCCTCAAAATTCAGCTAAAATTTACTAGCCTTCTCACAGATGTCAAATTAAGCCCCCCCCCGAACTTCCACTGTCTCTAATCTTCACATTAGATTGCGCATTTACTAAAAAGAAGGAAGCGATGCAGGGGGAAATATTGTATTTAAGTTCAGATCAATAAACACACTGAACTGTTTTCATGGTATTTTTGACGGAACGTGTATTGAACCTAGTTATGTTTCTTGTTAACTGTCTCTAGTAAACCTCAAAGGCTACTGTCATCTTGCAAATAACATTAACTGATTTTGTGCTGCTATATTTTTATTAATGATGTTATAAAATTTGAATTTATACCCTTCTAGATACTGCAAGAGAACTAGAAATGGGCGAGAAGTCAAAACCAAATTGTTTTGCTCTCGGACCTCTGACTGATTCTTCAGCGCTACGAACGTATTATGTCAGCTGTGGTATGTTATCATTTTGGACTAATCGTTTACTTAGATGTTGGTTATTAACTGATCATAATTATTATCAATTCTTTATCGTCAATTGTTTGATAATAAAAATTGTTTCGTCTTACTCCATATATCAAGATTCTGAAGACGACAAAGTGGACTGGATCACGACATTGAATTGTGTTATAGAAGGAGTTCTCGAAAAGGTTTTGAAGCGTAAATCAACGTATCGCGCCCAAAGCACGCGAAAGGTAAACTACTGCCATTGCATTTTTAGATTTCAGGTAAACAGCAAGGCTCTACCAGGCACGTAAATAACAGAAGTTGTAAGGGGCATGACGCCCCCCCTCTAAGGTTGGAAAATCCAATTACAGTTGGAAAGCTTACCAGTTCAGTTGTGAATTTTATATTTTAGAAATTTTGGGATTTTGAATATAAAAACTTTCAACCTTATCAAAATTCACAGGCTGATTCATTATAAAATTAAGAATCTTTCAGTACTAGAAATTCTCAACCTTTCTTATAAAAAAACGAGTGTATGGTAAAGCTGCCGAGAAGTCAGAAAATATTGCAGAAGCTGCAGCAGAAGTGTTTGCTCAAGGAAGGGTGTTTCATCTTACAATTCGGGCATATGGACTTGCTCTCAAGTCCCCCATTTTAATTGTAAAAAGCGAAAGGACATTTGCCCTATGAAAATTATTTAAAATTTCCTTCGATCAAGGACAAAGATGAAAGGCTAAATTCCTTTATGGTTTTTCAGATTAAATTGATCTGCAGCGAATAGCTTTTAAATGGGCAAAGCAGAAAAAGAAAAGAATCGCTGTTAATTGACTTGAAAGAACCCTACAATTTATCTTTAAATAGAGCCGCAATTTTTGGTTATGCTTAGATGTTGTTTTATAACTTACAACAAGTTTAAGTGTTCGTGTTACGTTGATCGTTAATCTTGTAACACTGACGGCAGTTTGCAAAGTCAAATACAGCCATTCCCTTTTCCCCAACGGAATACTGTTGGTTCACTTTAAAACGGGTTAGGGAATTAGGAGTTTGCCTTTCCTTAATTATATTTGTCTAAACCCTCAACGTTGCTCTTGGGGGAGGAGGCGGAAGTAGTATTTTTTTCAGAAAAGGAATGAAAGGTATATAATGCAACCCAAAATTTCTGGGTGTTCAAAGTACTTTTGGCAATGATTGTAGATTTTTCAAAGTTTTCGACAAATATAAGATATCGACTAAGTTTCTTCTCCATGGTCATTCAAATTTTTTGTTTGTTTTTGTTTCCAGGATAAAGGAAGACGGGTGACATACCCTCCTCCACAACTCAGTTCCAAAGGTGATACATTTTCGTATCAGCGATTCAAATGGCGAATGGATGTAAGTGTAAAATTATTCTATCTTGTCACCACTTCAACGTGTCTCTGTGTCTCAATTCCTTTATCTCTCCCAATGTTTCTATTTAGGTTTTCCCTTCTTTCTTGTTGGTTCATGTGTAAAAGTTGTCTTTTCGAAAATTTCCAATTTCATCTCCCTAGCAATGGAAGCTTTTATGCAGAGAAGTCAGCGAAGGCAAATGGAAGAAATGCGATACAAAAAATGGCATCAGTATCGCAAGGCAGTCGTTTAGGGATAGCGATTTGGCAGTTATTAAGGTATTTTGTTTTTTGAAAGCTTTAAACTTTGTATAAATAAGCATTAGGACACTTAAGAATCGCAGCAGCATTTTCAAAGCTTTTTGCTACCAATTTTTTTTATGATCTTAGGACGTTCCTTCTCAATATTCCCAGTGTTTCATATATAAAGCAAATTTTATTGCCTTCAGTTTTTAAAGATTGCTCACTTTGTTTGCAAACTTGGGTCCCTTGAATTTCACCCGCCATACAATGGCGTAAGATTTCGCTCAAGTCCACCTTGTTTTTAGAAGCTTCGAATGTTCTTCATGTGAAGCTTATAACTCAGCTCCCCAGTTAAGAAGAAAAATTATCAGTTTTGAATCTTGCTATTGTCAAGATAACATCTTGCTGATGTGTTTTCCATGAGCTGCACCAATGGATGGGACCTTCTTACAGTCCCTAAATGGGGCCCCCTCTCAGTTTATTCCCAAGGACCCCAGATGCCTGCGTTACCTCATTATATCTCGTGTTACTTAAAGAGGGCAAGTCTTTGATATTTAATTGGAGGCACACATTTTATACTGGAAACGTAGGATTTAAATATTTAATTCATGAATTTATTCAAGTTCCATGTTTTTATAAAGCGTAACCAAATGTACAGACCAATGTAAGTTACACTCCGATTGTCTTCATTATTATAACACTCACGGATCTCATGTTTTGAAACTGGTATCTCCATACGAGTTATGTCATGCAGGAGCACAAATTATGAGCGTTTAGGGGTGAACACCCCCTTGCAATAATGCTGAAAATGTCGGCCAAAAATTTAATTATAGCGATGGAGTGTTTGCCCTCTTCATTGCGGAGAATATTAGAATTTTTTTCCTTGGAAGATTTGGTTCGAGGCTCCTCAAGTTTGCCCTCGTTAAGAAAGCTTACTCGAGGCTAATTTTTCGAGATGATAGTGAAGGATACCTTTCCTTGCAGATTGCAGCTAACTAATTGCTGCTTGTCACTTAGGGAAAGTACGATGACATTGTTTGTTACGGTCTGTCACTCCTTCCATGAAACGAGGTTAAACAAGCTAAACTTGTTCGCACGTAAAAAACAGCAAAGGTGTTGGGGAAAATTTCCCCTTTGTTCTTTTCGTTAATCAGCGAAAACCTTCGTCGTTCTGAGGGCTAGGCTGTAGATCAAAAAATCAAATTTGATGCGTAATTCGAGGACACGCCCCTCTTAACCACCCAGTCATAGGAAATTAACTGTCAAATACGTTACCAAAAATTTGACTGCTGGTGGAAAGAACAAATTAATACGTTGAATCTTGTGAAATCTCATTTTGCATTTGAACCTTCTTCAGCTTGCATTGCGACTATAATTCTAAAACCGGCCTAATATCGTACTGCATGAAATTACAAAGCACAGCCAATTTCTCCTTCCGTAACTTTTTACGTGTTACGTGTTACAACTCCTGCTAAGCATGGCGGTTGCTGCGCAAGAGCCTTTAAAGGGTGATTCATGTCTCTGCCTGTCATGTGACTAGTTCTCAGTTCACCTCACTTTAGACCGTTGATTATAAAATAATAAATCAATTTTGCAATAATTTACCATCTTTTTCAGATTGAAAGTGTTTTTAATGTACCAAAACAGTTTATTTATGAATATCTTCAAAGAGCGCTACGACCCGGGGGCAAGGTATGAAAACTTTCATAATAGTTTATTTAACTGTATTTATTTAACTGTTAGCCCAAAGTGAATTTTATCTTGACCTTTGCCCCCCCCCCCCCTACACATTTTGTTTTGCAGAATCAAAGGCATATTAATTGATATTTTGTCAACCGCCTCTACGAACCTCTCGTCGCTAACATGGCCTAATCTAGAGTAGAAAAAAGATATACAATATGCGAAAGCCATACAGTAGATATCCAAAATAATCATTAAATATATACAAGCCACGGCTCATTCGCCTTATAAAGGCCTACTCTTTCTAATGATAGTCTTGACAACAGTGTTTGTGCTAGTGAGAAAAAGGCACGAGATGGAAGGGTAATCGGGGGGTTTTAGTTAGACCATCTTATCTCCTTATAACTTTGCAATGCCGAATCTTGTGTTTTGTCTTTGTGAGTGTTTATTCTTCTACCATGATGTTCACAAACATGACATTCCCAGTCTGTAGGATTTCAAAGATCAATTTTTCTTTATAGAGCTAATAAACAAATACGGTAGTCATAGCCTTTCCATATATCCTAAAATTATTCGCAGTGACGTTTGCCTTCTCAAAGCTAATAAGCATCAAAGCAAACTAAACAACTCTTCTTTACATTCCTTCTTCTTTGTTTCCCATAAAACGGATATTTTTCAACTCCTTCCATGAAACGTTCCTTGATTCCGTTGAAAACGCGACGCAAGTGCCCAGACCCCTACCATCACTCTCAAATAAGCCCTCGTCCTGATATGCTGATTAGCCCCTAGTCGAATAACCAGACAGAAAAGAAAATGCATGGTTACAGTACACATTGGAAAGATGAGTCTAGATTCCTATTGTATTCCTATTTGTCTAAACCAACGAGAAAGCGTTCTATATGCACGTGTACATTTGACGAAGGCTTTTCTTGGCGCTTCGAGATTCAGCCAAAGCCATGTTTATGATATTAACCAGAGTTTCATTCTTGCCCTTCTCATGATACTCTGTGGCTTATTTCCACAAGACCTACCAATGTTTTTACCACAGAATATATGATGCGGTATGAAAATAGCATCGTCGAATTCAATTATGTTGGTGCAGATGATACAAAAGTTTGACAGCCACATTAAAAAAATTTCGTTAAAGATTATGTGTCCATATAAAAGGACTGCGCATACCCAACTTGTCAAGCCACCCATCAAAATAACAATTTGCGATTGGTAAGTGTTTTTGCAATGCAAAACTGCTCACATGAAAAGCTGACCTCGCAGAAGGATAAATAAACAGAACGACCGTAATGACTGGGGGCGATGACATGAAAAATCACGTGTTTCTAAAAACCCAAGCAGAGTCGCTTGCTAAGCTGGACACATTACCTTTAAAGTTTATAGCCAACCACTCAGCTTGCCCGCCGCCCATCCGCGCGGTCACTAAAGTACCGCGGGAGCAATCATCAATTGGCCAGGAGTTCCTCGAGAGGATCTCCTGGGCCACGCTTCTTGCTCAGGGAGGCGGGCTATGCCTCCTCATCGTGGTTAGAGATGTTGTCTTTGTTGATGGACAAAGACGGGACGCGTACTATAGAAATGATCCTAGTAAGTACGGTCTTGGCTGTAAGTGGTCATGAGAAAAGACGAGTTCACAGCACCTGTTGCTTTGAATAAGGGATTCTATACCCGCGCATGCGCGGTAGAAAATTCTATTAGCAAAGAAGGCAAACAAGATTTATTTGTAAACGCAGGTCAAAGTCTAACGGCTTCTGCAAATGTGGACCTGGGGCTTGTGCCCCCACATTGATATTCTAGAACAAATACCCTGGGGTACTTGCTCCATCCTCGAACCGACCTCAAATGGATGGACTGCCGAGTTGGCTAGCTTGTAGAAAGTGGCGATATTCAGATTCATACCACACGCTTTGACCACATAGCCACACCTCCATAAATACTTATAAAGTTAAAAGCTGTATCTACAACATGCTCAGAGAATCAGAATTTGATTTCAGACTTCTCTAATAAACAATAATCAGTACTCTGACGGAGGTATGCCTACCCGTGTGTGGCAAAATTCAAACCATGAAATTTAATACTTAGGTAGAATTCCTTATTTCAGTGCAAACCATACACCTTATTTCCAACGAAATTTCCATTCAATGCAAACATTTTCGGAATGTGTCGATACTATCTTATTCTAGCGTTTGAACCAATCTATTCACTCATTTAAACTGTTTCATTTTTGAACAAGTTCAATTAAATCTTGAGCTTTTTCACTCAAACCTCGTCCCAACCCCCGCACATCCTGTCTGTTTCTCTGCAAATATGGTGGGCCTAAACCGTACAGTAAAGATGTTTATGGGTTTTTCTAAGCTATAGAAGGAAGGGGCAAATGGCCTGACAAGCGAAATTTTAAGCAGCTCTTTGAGGTGATACTTTATCTTTTGGTTTGGAAAGCTCGAACATGAAAGAGGAAGGTGCGGCAATTATGCGTTTATATATTTCAAGCCTAGGCCGAAATGAGAGAGTTAGTTTGGAACCAAAGTCATAGACTGACTCCGTGAGTCGCAAATTTTGCTATTGAATTGAATTTCCATTTGGCGTAATATTTACGCTGTCATGGATTGCCATGGCTACTACAGAAAGTAAAACATTGGCGTGATTCTTAGTGCTTCATAAATGTTGGTGTTAATGTGTGGCGGACAAAATTTGCGAATTCCACCTTGGCTTGCTCGTAATAACGAAAGGTTACATTATAACTTAGTTATGAAAAGCTGAAGTTATATCCAAATTTTTTCAAAATATCACTGCCAAGCATTCAAGGGTTTTATGCCCACTTACATTGAGAATGTTTGGGTGCGTTTTAACGAAAAGTTCTTTCTTGTTTGCAGTTTGATTTCATATTCAGAGGCGAAACAGTATTGCAAAGGATCGAAGGTATTTTTCTAGTTTATAATTTCAAAGGCAAAAACTAGTATATTTTACAGCGTTCTAATTCTGCTACAGTTCTGCTAATTCTCATTTTGGTCATTCCTCTTTCTCTTAAGAATCTTTGACTTGTAGTTGCCATGCATTGCTTCGCTATCACAAAG